CATCTCACAGTGAAAAATAAATGCTCACATGGGGAAGAATCGACAACACAAGACTTTTGCACAAAAATGTTTGTATTACAGTGCATTGAACATGAGCCACTAAATGTCATGATGTTGTAAAAAACACAAGTATTGTACTTACAATATAAAAATAGGACTATAGGCTCTGATATAATCATCATCAGAAAAGCGTCAGCTAAAGTATTGTATAAAATTAACGGTGCTGCAATTCTAGGAGGACATGGATCAACTCAGAGAGTTGAGAGAAAAATAAAAATAACGTGCTGTAAATAGAAACATATCTAGAAAGTAGATGCAGTATACAATCAAAGTAAGGATTGTGGAGTTTTTCATTTCAATATTAGCAGATTAAGGTGAGTTTAAGGTATCACTCACTAACCCTGACATCCTGGACTGTGTTTCAGTCAGCTAACGAATATAAGAATTTCACAGTGGGAATCTTCACTGTGACTTCTATTTGTTATGATTATATAACTGGTGGTAAAAATATCTTCCTTCCTCCCTCCCTCCCTCCCTTCTTCCCTTCATTCCTCCCTCCCTCCCTTCCTTCCTTCCTTCTTTTTTTTTCTTTTCTTTTCTTTTCTTTTCTTTTCTTTTCTTTTCTTTTCTTTTCTTTTCTTTTCTTTTCTTTTCTTTTCTTTTCTTTTCTTTTCTTTTCTTTTCTTTTCTTTTCTTTTCTTTTCTTTTCTTTTCTTTTCTTTTCTTTTCTTTTCTTTTCTTTTCTTTTCTTTTCTTTTCTTTTCTTTTCTTTTCTTTTCTTTTCTTCTTCTTTCTTTCGTATCTTTCTTTTTTCTTTCTCATTTTTTTTCTTTTTTTTTTCTGGTGAAGATTGGTCCCAAAGGGCCATCCATGCTTCTTTCAAATATTGACTGTACAGTCCATCTATTTTGCTCTTCTTCTGTTAAAAAATTGTAAAATGAAATTACACTGCTAGGAACTACAGAAGAGCATAATGAAGTAGGAAAGGAATTTTTTTCACTGAGATTAAATGATAGCTATATTTATTCAGGTTAAGTTTAAGATAAGTTGCTTAACTTTTCAAAGTTTATCCTATTTGGAATCATATACATAAAATTTAAATTAAAATTATTGGCAAGATGTAGGTAAGCATTCAAGCTGTGTTCATGTTTCTACATTTCATAATAAAAGTGAGAAATTTTGGTTCTGAAAGTACCTTTGAGATGTAAGACTCCATGCTGGAAAAGACAGCAGGTACTTTAAAGACTAAATATATAGATGTCTGCATTTAGGGATTTTAGAAAGAAATATATATATGGTAGCAGAGGTGGAACCCAGCACTCTGAAGGGTTAATGTGAACTTTAGTCTTCCACTGATCACCCTCTAGTGCTGTGTCTTCATAAATTTCCTCCGTTTATGGAGTGTTTTTGATGGCAGGCAATTCTTTGTTGAAAGTTAAGTGCTCTTTTATATGAATAAATAAAGAAGGCTTTGGTTTGAATGAATACATTATTTTGACAAATGTTTATTGGAAACCCAATTATGGCTTCATAAATCAGTGCTATCTCTGGTACATCAGGTGAGCTCACCAACGCCATCAAATGGCACGTTGAATATTAGTAGAATAATTAAAACAATTCTGTCCAATGTTGTCCCTCTTACGAAGGTCTGACAGTAGTCAAAACAGGAAGAAAATGTCTATTATTTTTATTTAACTTATTAAAATACTTCTTGTAAGATGTAATGGACATACTTAACAAAAAAAAGCAAAAAGGAAAAAAAAACATTTGTTTTCAATTTGCAGTTAGATTAAAATGACAAGGTCAGGCACAACGCATGAGCTGAGTGGCAGCTGAATTTTAAGAGTAGCCCAGGAACAAAAAGATATGTATAAGAACTATTGTTTGAACTTTATACCTAGGTGAAGTGGGGGTCTGTTTGTTTTGTTTGATGTGGTCATTGGTAATGTGAAATGTGTCTGCAGCCAACGCATGTGCTTCCTTGCCTTTCATGCCCCCTGCCACAGTGATTCTAGCTTAAAAGCAGCAAATGAATGAGAAGCCATTTTCACAGCTATGAAAATGAAGAGATTCTTGAACTCAAGGTCAAGAAGAAAGGGAAGATATTAAAGCTAAAGAACAAATAAATAAAAGCTTGCAGAGGGGCAAGCTAGTATTTTTAATGGGAATTTACTTCTCTTGAAGGCACTCTGATGACAGCAAAATGGAGAAGATCACTGTATCAATAGAAGGATACTGAAGATACAACTAAATTTGCATGACTTCCAAAAGGATGAGTTCCCAGTTTCAGGATATGGCTAAATCTATATCCAGTAGGACATACAAGTAGGGATTGAAACTCGTATTCAGGTTTTGTGTATATTTGCATTAGCTTGATATAATTAGTTGCAAGGATGCCTCTCTTGACCACTCATGTATAATATCTATATTTGCAGAGACACAGAAAAGGAAACAACAACATGTAATAAGAATACAAAAGGAATATCACAAAATGCAACAAAACAGACAATTTTTCTCCCATAATAGGCAAGGAGCAATAGAGTTAGCCAGAGAAATGGCAATAAAATACATTTGGTTGGAATTTGTCACTTCTTTGAAATGAGAAGAAAAAAAAATCACAAAGAAAAATTTGTTTTGTTTCACCAGAAACTAACCTTCCACCAGAGCAGGCCTTGCTCCAGATTCCTGGCATCTGGCAGGCAGGCAGTCCCGCTGGAGGCCCCAGGGCCGAAAGGCTGACTCGCTGCCTTCTCAGGAGCTCATATTTCCCTAGAGATCTGCTTTTCAGATAGTGTAAAAAGATGGAGGTCTTCTTCCAAATGAGAATTAGACCAAATTTTATAATTTTCTATAAGACATAAATAATATTCTCCCTTCTCCAGCCCACCTAGTCCTAGTCCCTTCTCAGGATTTCAGTTAAACAAACTGCAAAAATATGCAAAGTAATTAAGGGATTTTGGTCTTCATGTTTCAGGATCTTTTGTTTGTTTCTTTCTTTCTTGATGTGTGGGGCAAAGTAAGAGTAAATTCAACCAAAAGTCAGGCAGGCATTTTTCTATCAAAGGCTTCATGACCAGCAATAAATACTCTGTAGCTAAAAGAAGTAGAGCTTGGACCATCACAGTGGGCAAAACAGGATGCTCTTTCTCCTTTAAAAATACCTACACTGCTTTTGCAGGACAAACAGCACAATGCCTCTTTCAGGGTAGCTAGATATAAGGATGCTGTTTTATACACTCATTTTAGCACAGGTATTGCTTCAGGCTCAGGGACTGTGCTATTTTATGTCTCCATTTCCATTTCAGGTCCCGCATCCTTCTTACCCATAAGTTGAAATGAAGAAGTGTCCTGTCATCCTAGTAAAATATTTACTATGATGCTTTTCTGTTCATATTCTCAGAAAGGTAGAGCATTCAGTCCAAACTATGCTCTAGAGATTTATTTTCTTGGAAGGGTTATGGACATGTGGGTGGTTGGCCTAACAAAGAGAACTGTGGAGGCAATTTGTGTGATAAAAAAAGAGGAAAGAAACTTCATTGAGCTATGATGAGCCTGGAAGAAAACCGATAAAATGTAGTCTGCAGTCCATGGACTTGACACAGTGGCACAGGAAGAAGCTCCGCTGCACCCTAACTATCAACCCAAGCATCACCTCTGCCCCCAGAGCTTCACAGATGTCTTCTGTCAATCAGTAATGCTAACATATTTGGTCCTGGCAACGTCTATCAGTTTTGCTTATCTCTCATCTCTTTTGTGAAGCTCTGTTTCCTCCTTTTGCCTGTGGCTGTTCTAAATGTACTTGTGAGCTATTGGAAGGTGAAAGGTGTGTGTGGGGGAAACGCAGAAAAAGTGGCCTGTTTTTTATAACTCCGATTTAAAATCTAACAGCTCTGAAACACTTCCTCTGACATTTTATTTCTGAAAAAAAAAAAAAAGAAAAAAAGTTGTGGTTATGAACTCCTTGTACAGGAATTACTGTTGCTGATTGAGCATTTGAAAATTGGACTGAAAAGTTGTCAGATTTCACTCTGCCTTCTGCAAGAAAAATCTCGTTGCACAGACTCGCTATTCCATATATCAGAACATTTGCTTCTGTTTTCTCTAGGGACAAAGGTAAAAAATGCTATAGCACAACACACCTTGCATATCTGTCTATTTTAGTGAAAACCTACATTTAAACTATTACATCTTAAAACACAAAAGGAGCAGAAAGCTTCCAGGGAGACTGTTCTTCCTTCATATGCAAGACACATGCACTACCAATAAATCACTCAGATTGCTATTACAGTCTGGAACAACAAGATGGCATCATCCCTAAATGCAAGAAGGTGTGTGAAAGATTAGCACAACAAAAACACTAAGGGGGTCATTAAAGCATTAAAGCAGGGGGTCATTAAAACGATTGCAATACCTCCCCAAACTTCCTTGTTGCAAAGTGGTGACTGAGCCATAAATCAAAGCTATTCTTCTTCGGGGGATATTTAAGGAGGCAGGAAGGATTGTAGCTACAGTCATGTAAAGAACTGTAGCTCTTGCACTAATGGGCTGAGGCAGAGATAGCAGATCACTACCCCTGCTTATTTCATATGCATTCCTCTCTCCTTCCAGCAAGCTGAGAAAAACAAGCCTTGTTTTGAGCAAAATCAACATAAATAAATATAATATGTTATTAATGCCAGTTTGCATTTGCTTCACTTTTAGTTTCTCCTATGTTTTATTTGCATTGCTGAAAACTAAAACAGTGAATTGGATTGGCTGGATAGCTTACCTTGCTCATTTTTCAAAAATAACATTGGCCAACATACAGACAAATATTCATAAAACAAAGGCATTATGCAACGTTACAGAAAACAATACTTATTCAGAGCCAATAGCTCTGATCCATTTACTTACTATTAACATTTACCTGTTACTTTGTGAAAATTCACAAGAAGCAACAACAGAGAAACAGATAGTCTGGGAAATATTTACTTTGAACTCTACACACAAATCTATACTGCTCATTGCATTATGAAATTTTGAAATCTACCAACTTCCACTCTGTCTTTCTCTCCTGACTCTCCATCAGCTTCATCTGAACACATCTGTTGTCTGCAATACACAGTGGGATGAAAATGCCTATAGTAAACAAGTAGAAAAATAATGCCTAACACCAGACTGACAATAGTTAAGATGCCCACAATTGTAAAATGTATTTCCTTGGTAAAGGGAGGTTTCCAAAACAAATACCTAAGTAAAACGCCTAACGTTAAAAGGGTATGAGTAGTGTAATAGATAGAAATGCAAACTTTTGTTTTTGTTCCCTTTATGTTAAAGAAGGTAAAAATTAGAATGATTCCAATAACAGTTCTGTACAGATATTCCATCACCTTAGATTTGCAAAATGTTGTGTGTTGTTTCAAAGTCCAGCAAAAGCCACAGCTCCAAAGAAGTATCAGCAGAAATACAGAACTTCTGGCACTCAGAAGAGTGATCAGTGAAATACTGAGTATCCAAGAAGTGATTGTAAGCAGTTTGTAGAAGAGATATACCAGCTTGGATAGCACATGAAATTCATCTTTATCAGGCAGAGATTTTCGTAATGATATCTGATAATCAACCGTCAAATAGGAGATGCCACAAAAAGACAGGATAACAGCAGCATCTAAACAAAACACAAGCATAAATGTTAGTCCTAAGAAAAAGATACTTATTTTATATGAAAATTTCTGAATAGTTTGGACAACTTCCTGTTTTCTTTAAACTTTTTTTACATTGTCTTTATATTTCTTTTCTGCTGTTGGACAAGTAATCTTGGTCCACATGCCTAAATCTAGGCATCTAGTGCCATCTGGGATGCCTATGGTATCCTTCCTGGCCTCCAGCCACTGCTGGTCTTGCCCATGTCATGTCATATTTGCCAGCTCCATACAGATGACTTAGAAAGCCCAGCATGTTAACCCCCATAAATACTTGGATCAGCCGCTGATATTGAGTCCAGATTGTCTATAATGCAGATGTCTGTAAGAGATTCCCTTTGCATGGTCATATTTAAGGGAAGTCTGACTGTTTTATCTCTGTATGTGTTAACTCCATTGCTATGAATAGTCAGTAGACAACAGTGAAAACCTCATTTGATGTAAGCCAACAAAACAGACTGCTCTGAAATGGATACATTAATCATATTCAATAACTTCTTTTCAAATTAGGTATGAGGTTTATAGTAAATATTATGACTTGCTACAGTGAAGTCTTAACAAAACATCATCTACTAGACACAAATTACAACTAAATGCAGAGTAATCACACTGTGCAGTGTGTGAATAAAATGTTATCCAGTAACATGAATTATCTATTAAAATACAATACTCGGCTTCCAAATTAAGGAGAAAGAAAGACTCACATTGACAGAAATTGTTTGTGTCATGTTCCCTGAGGATGTAAATCTGGACAAACAGCTGAGGTGTGCTCTCAAGAAAAGTCTTGAATACCTTGAGCATGCTAATATCAGTCATTATATCAACGGCTTTTTTATGAATGAAATTGGGATGCTCTGTTTCTGGTACATCTCCGTTACTGTTTTGTTTAAATGCAGCCTGGTAGCCATATTTCAAAGCAAACCAATACCTATAGAAATGGAAAGTTGATTAGATAGTGGTTTTGAAAAGTACAACAACACCAGAAAATGAAAAGTAATGAAATTACTACTAGAAAAGAAAGAGGTTTGCTTGAATAAAATTACAAGCTTTATTTTGTTAACTTCTTATTTGTTTAAAAGTACTACACAGCAGTGTAAAAGTGTGTTACTAGACATGCAAAAGGACCGCAAGCAGCAGTGAGAAAGATGAAATCATCAACATCAACTCTCAGCAAAGGACTCAAACGCTAATAACACCCATAACAACCCACCACCACCACAAGATTGCAGCCACTGGCCCTTGGTCCCAAGGCAGCACAGGAATGGTAAGCACCCCACCAGAAAAAAAGGGTAGAAGCTAAGAAATGTGGTGTAACAATGTTAACTGTATCATTACTATTATCAACATTTTTTCCACATAGAAGTATTCTTTCTTTTTCTGTCTTGATCAGATCTGGACTAATAATGATTCTTGGATTAGGCTATTAAGATTTTAATTATATTACCAATAAATTCTTGGCTTTGCATGTAAGGTATATTTGCCCATAAACAAGATTTTGAACTTAACAGTCTAATCATCTAATCATTGTTTTCAAGCTCTAACTTGTCCTTTTCCCAGAACTCTTGAAGTTCTGACATGCTTCTCCAGTGAACTCCCTTTGACTATGTACAGCAGGAAAGGACAGAAAAAACAGTCCATCCTTCTCAAGAAAACTGTTATTTTGCTCACATTTCTGGTATTATAAACATTGCCGAATGTCTTCCCCTCATCAGAAGAATTTAGTCATTTGGGCTATCATGATGGCATTGTTCATTCAGAGCTAGTTTTAGGAGAAAGCAAGCAGAGCTCCACAGAACATCACTTGGTTATGTTAGGTTGTCTGCAAGTCTGCTAATGTGCAGGAAGGGCAAAGTCCCATGCCACTCTCTAAGTCTGCATTTAAGGTGATTTCAAGGTGCATGCTAAAAAGTGCCACAGTTTCCTTATTTCCCAGTTGTCCACAGGATCAATGTACTACAGAAACCATAAAACCCAGGTGTGTGCATTTCCTTTACATAGAAACAAGGGGGCAGGAGATCACCAGACACCCAGATTTCATCACACTGCTCATCCATCGCATTGAAGCACAGTGTCCTGCAACTTGCAAAGGACACTCAAAGTATCTCCTTGGATGTTAAAAGTTTAACTTTCACCATCTTTAAAGAGCAAATTCTTTGACTGCATAGGACGAGGTATAAAGGGTCCCTCAGTAGCCTCAAATGAGGATTTGCAGATTCTTTGCTAGGGAGATGTTAGAGGAATCATGGCTTATTTCCTAGTATGTTATCCATGTGTTCTTCATACAAGGGTTACCATGCCGGGGCTTGAAACATGGAAGCATCAGCTGTAGGTGTGGAACAGCAATGCTACTATACAGAGGCCTAAGAGACCCTTTGCCCTTCTTACGGAGGCTCATAGACTGCAGCCCTGCCTTTCAGGCCATACATTGATTCTGCGAGTTGGCTGTAGCTTCAGTATTATATTCCCAAATGAGATATTGTTTTCTTGTTTTATGTTGTTCTGTATTTATCTTACTGTTTTCTGAGTAATCTCCCATAAGTAATGGACTCAACTGTTTGGCAAATGGGCTAAAACTTTCTTAGTTTATAAAATAATTAGGAGTCCAAACATATGGTTCTTGCATCCAAGGTGTAAATATCTGGAGAATTTACTGTGTTTTCCAGAAAAAAAAAATAGAGTAGACCAATCTGTTACTTGTCCATACATTCATTCAACAAAGTCTGTGTTTGTTCAAGCAGCAAGAAGTGGAAACCAGCTGTACAAATTTCAAGCTCCAGAGCTTACAGCTGAGAAGGCAGATGATGAGCAAGACAAACACCAGACATGTTGTAAAAGGAATATTTCAGTTGGATGCACACTTCATATCATCTGTCAGTTTTCAAAAACATATGGCTTCTAAACCTAGTATGTTACGCTGTTAATAATGTTATCAGATGGTATGTCAGTATTTTTCATTACTTGCAGCTATTTCAGTTAATCCACTTCTGCCTTTGAATACTGTATAAAATACATTGTTTTCTAGAAAAAAAAAATGAATATTTCAGTTTCTCCTGCATTACATGATGATAGTCAAGTGAGGTGGCATTCCCTGAGCTCCACGTCCTGTGTTACTTTCTGTAATCCACTATGACAGATCTTTCCTCTTTTAAGGTACCTTGAGCTTGCACTACCTTTCTAATATTGCATTCGCACGCAATATTAGGACATTTTAAGAAGGGTCTAGAACAGATTTTTAGGCTTAGCTTGGACAATTACAATTACCTTCAGGAGGAAAGTTTACTAAAGCATAGATCAGACTCGATTTTTATCACGCCCATGGCTCATCTGAACACTGTGCCTGCTCTGAAACTATTATAATTATAGTATAGCAATGATATATACACTATTGTAACAGTTTAC